AGGTCGCAGAAGGAAATGCCTGGTAGCACGAGCGCAAGACCCCTTAGAACGGCGGGATTTCGAGACGCAGGAGAGCGCCAAAGCATTGGATATGGCAATGAGTTTGACGCCCCCAGGAGTGCGGAAAAGATCAACTTGCGAACGTAACAACCCCTCACTTTATCATACTGTTGGGGTCTCTTCGATCGGCACCTGGCGGCGTAGTTCTCGATGCTCCCACGATGCACTGCCTGCAGCGGACTAACTATGACAGTGCCTGTCCCGTCCCTTGCTTAAGTCTCTTCAGCTCTGAGAAAGCTTCCGCAGCAGTGCATGAGGGACCACTTCACTGAACAGCGACTGAGCAGCAGCTCCGGAAACGAACAGAAAGCTGCTGCCACATAAAGCCTTGGGTCTCTCGAGCTCAAGTGCTATGCTTGGTGCCTCGTTGAAACGACTATCACCCTGCCGTCTTGTGTGTGCTGCACTCGGCCAAACGGCTAGGACATGCTCGGATAGCTCCCGCACTCGGACTTCCCCTGCAGTAAACTTGGGGATGAATGCACCGAAGGCTCGGCACTCATGCCAGCAACATCGGGTCCCCATCGATTGGTGGCCTTGGTGAGGGGCTTGAGATATGCGGGTTCTTTCGGCTCTGAGACTTCAAGCTCGGTGAATGCATGCCGCGACCTTGCCCAGCCACGTGCCATGTGGCCTCGGTCTTCGCGGCCCAGGATCCAAACGTGTCCTCGGTCTTTCCATACAAAATTTCATGGCATTGCCACAGGCCAATACTTCGAAGCAGGTACCCGCAAGTCTTCCATCACATGCAGGCATTTGGCCTCAGCCTGTCTTGGTGCCAAGCTGCAATGCGAAGTACAAGCCCTGGCTTCAGGCGCCTGCCCCTGTCATGGTGAAAGCTCTGGGCTTCAAATTGTCAACCTCTTGTTGCAGGAATCGTCCTCTTCTCTCACTCATGTCTCCGCCATCTCGCATCTTGTACGTGGGGAACAAGATGCAGAGACGCAGTGTTCTTTCCAGATTGTGCTCATGCCATTGCCACCCTTGTCAGACTTGCTTATTGGCCCATGCGTTTGACAGCAGCGGGACCCTCAGTCTTGCCCAGGCTTCTTCGTGCTGTCTTATCTCTGGTTTGTCTATGACTCCTCCAGTTTGGGTCTCGTGCCACGACGTGGGGAAGAAGTCCTTTCTGACCGGTCTGCTGTTCGTGGCCTGTTTGTTGGTATGGTATCCTGTGAGGAAGTCTGATTTTTCTCTAGGGCTTGATTCCCACAACAACTATCACCAGAATGTCACCTCACCAGGTGCCTTGCAAGGGAGTCTTTAAGGAGTCCAGTCGAGCGTAGAAGGCAGGGCTGACTGCAAGAGACGTTTGCGGGTTGAACTGACGGCTCCTGGAAAGACCCCTCGCGGCCTGCAGAAGGGCAGGAGCCGATTCAATGGCTTGCCGCCTTGCGACAATTGCCTCGGGTTACAGGCAGAGCTACCTCCCACATATGAGCACATCGGAGGTCCTATGTCGGCTGGGATTCCACCCTTCAGGAACTTCGGGGGAGACCTGCTTCATGCCTAGAGACCGAAGTTGAACTCATCAACTTCTTAGAAAAGACGTGCTAAAGTCAATTGAAAGTAATTGAAATTCCTGAAATGCCCCTCGAGGGCCCTCTCGCCGAGAAGCAACAGATTCATTGTTGCAGATGCGGGGGAAGTGGAGCTAAACATCGGCAGGGATCGGACTCCGAAATCCTGCCGGGATTCGTCCGAAGCAAGAGCTGCAACTTTGATGGAGTGGGATAGGCGCCTGCCTCCCACCTGCAGTTGCCGTGGCCATCTCGGATGACATACCTTCTCTCATGGAGCAGCAGAAAGCCCAAAGAGCCAAAGAGGTTGGAAGATGCACATTGGCCTGCTGGATTGCAATCCGAGACTAAGGAGCAGGAGCCCCAAGTCTTGCTCTATTTCCGCCGGGAAAAACATGGGCCAAGATGCTTGTATTCCAGCCAGAGAGGCATCTCCTGACAGTCCTCGTGCTGCGCAGGCAAGCAAAGTGCAATCAAGCGCCCGCTCAGACGCGAAGAGCGGGTGTTGGATTTTTTTGAGTTCGCTTCGAGTCTTCGCGTCTTCACTCGCTTCTCTGATGCTTTCTCTCTGCTTCTGCGTGGCGGGGCGGCACGGCAGAGCTTCGCGAAGCCACGGGCACGGGCTGACGGGACGGGGGGCGTGGGCCTTCGGGCTGAGGTACACGGCACTAAAGCCTGCGGAGAGTCGCGGAGGCAGAGAACCAGTTATTGCCTACCTGATGTATGATCACGCACGATCCAGCAGTCTCCAGCAGCTTAAAGTACCTTGATTGGTCTCTTCTGCACTCTTGCGCCCGCCCTTGCACGTTCTCATTCTCGTGCACTCACCATGTTTTCAAGGTTAGTTCGGCTAGTTCAATCGGGGCCTCAGCCTCAGAATACATCGCCTTCGTAGTAATGAGCCAGGAGCAAAGGTCCACACTGCTAACTCGACACTTATACGTGAGTATGCTCGCCAACAACATGCTGTGCCGTTGAACGTACTGATTTTGCATTAGACCCCTGGCATTGTTAGCAGATTGATTCGCAGACTCGCTCACGCGATCCTGCGCAGTTACATTATCCCCAAAGGCCAAACATTACTCAGCCGGCTTCCTCCGCCACCAGGAGCGGGGCTGTCAGGGTCCAGATAGGGAATGTGTCTTGCCCAGTTCCTTGCAAAGCTGGGGATCTGAAGCGAGGGCCTCAAAAACTTGGGGCAGGGAAAGCTCAGAGTTCGGGGTTTTGCAAAATTGCTGCTTGAAGCTTGTGTGGGAATGCCTTGCTTCAGCAGACACCAGCAACGATCCGTTAACACCTGCTCTTGTCTACAATCCCAAATCGTTTTGCCAACTCACGGCCGAAGACCGAAATAAAATGCCCATCCAACGGGGTTTCGCTGAGTGTTCTAAAGCAGGTCTGAGGATACTGCGCAGCCGAACTCCGCGCTCCACCGCCCAGTCCCCGAATGCCTCGAATCTGCAGAGTAGATGGACTACATGCATGAACATGCACATTCATAGCCGCCTAGGCCTGGACCTACTGATTTCAAACAAACGTTTGTCAGCTGTGTTTTTGCACTTGGCACAGACATAGCAGCTAAGAGGCTGGGTGATTTCCAACGGCCACCTTTGATCAGGCCACGGCAAAGAGTTAAGGTTGATGAATGTGCCAAAGACGGACGAGTGACCAGCTCCTCGCCGAACTGCGTCTCGGCGCAGATGCACTCCAGCCATACTTCGAGGGGCATGCTGCAGTCAAAAGGGCGGCTACCCCCACGCGCGAGCTCTCATGTCGTGTTCTTCCGACTTTGTCCGGTTGAAAAGCTTTGCTTCGATCCGTCGGGAGGATTTAGAAAGGTGTGTCACAGAGTCACAGAAGTAGCTGAAACTCCTACGACTCTGAGCTACGACTCTGGGATGGCTGAAGCTCGGCCCCGGCGACAGATGCTCAGAGAAGCAACGTGCAACTTCACAGGTTCCCCGAGGCACCCGCAGCCCTGAGACCTCCGGTCTTCGAAGCCGCAGCGAAGTCTTCGTCCGAGTCCTGGTAAGGCTGCCACGAATCGACGAACCCGAAGCACCTCCCCTGCCGCCAGGCCTCGCCATCACCGTGCTTAGGGCTGCTCGAGAAGATCTTGACCTCAGGAAGATCCGTGTCGATCTTCCGTGTCGAAGTCTCTGCTCGACCTAAGGCTCCTTTAACGTGCCACAAGCCATCTTTGATCCTCATGAGACGAACACGCTCAGAGGAGAGACGCTCCTAGCATTCCCCCCCAAATCCCTCGCAGAGCGCTGCAGTCCGCGCACCGGCTCGGAGACTTGGCGGCGGAAGCACTCGGAGCGTTCGTGCTCTTGGTCTCCCACCTCTCAAGAGTCGCTGCTGCGTCGCTGCCTCTTCCTACGCTCTTCGTCGCCTCCTTTCTGACTTTTACGCATCTTCTCAACCCTCACTCAAACACTAGCAGGAGCGAACTCGTTGCTGCATCGGTCACCTCCAAGAAGGTGTTTCGGATGACGACCGCCTGCGACATGTGACCTGCAGCAGACTCAGCTTGAAGTTCGAAGGCCAATCAGCTTGCCGGCTCTTGCCGCTTGGCTTCTGCCCCACCAGATGCTTGAGCATCGAGTCTTCAGAAAACTGGTCGGCACAACGTCCACAACTTTGCCCACCCACTTGTCCAGGAATGCTCCGAACTACGAGTGGACAAGCGTTCGGAGCAGAGCTCCAACCCGTTCACCGTCTCGGCTGACGGAGGTGCAAGATGTGTGAGGTCGCCGCAACGCACAGTTTCCTGCTTGCATTTTGATGGGATTCTGCGCTGGACGGACGTTGCACGGCGCTTGGAGCCCAAACCTATTGCAAGCGTGCATTGTGCTGCGCAGTTGGCTCACTTGGTCAGGTTAAGATGGGAGATCCCAGGAGATCCGATAAGGAAAGGACATCTGCATTGAGACTGACACGTAAGGCTTTGCCAGACTCTCAGATGGACTGATTATGCGTGCCACCGTCATTCCTGCCTGAGTGCCCGACAGAAGCCGCGGCAGGAGGCGGCCGCTGTCTCAGGGTCTCAATCGGTATGATTTGCTCGTTGTTCCCTACTTGTCCTGCTGCAAGTCGGAGTTGTTGACCGTCTGTCTGCAAAAGAGGCTTGTGACAAGATCTTTGGCATCTGCTGCTACTTTGACAAGCCGCACGTGACATGAGGCAAGCATAGGCAAGCCCCAGCCGAAAGGGCCGAGAAGGTCTCAAAACCCTGTGAGCCCCGAGGCCGGCAGCACTGGCGACGCTCCGGAACGCTTCTCCATGGTGACGTGAACAATGAATCATTGGGCACTGAGGCTCTGCTGTCATATGGACCGCGGACCTACCATTATCATCTATTATCCCCATTTGCGACAGCGTCCCTGCCCGGTATGACGCAATTCCGCCATGGGCTGCCATGTTCTGCTCGGCGGTCACGTCGTCCCAACTAGCCATGGCCTTGGTTCTCAGCTACAGAACGACCCACTGCCCGGGACCCTCATTGGTTGCGTGCAGGGCGCCGTGTAGTGTGGCTCCAGCTTCTCCAAATCCAAGCCTTCTCGAGAAATTATCAAGGCAGCACACCACTGCGACTCTGAGAGTGATGGAGAAACCAACTGAACAGAATTCCCTTCGGCAGTGCCAGTACTAGCCCCGTCCCTCCACTCCGCCCGAGCCGCGCCGGTCGCATCCAAGCCGAGATGAAGGTGCAGGTAGGAGCGTGTCTGAGGCGTCGCCTGGGCACCGGATGCCAGCTCTTGCGCCGACTTGGCTCAGCGGCTTCTTGTATGGGCCTTCCAGTCCTCCCGCATCTCCTCCAATGCATCCTCCTCACGGAAAAGGCGAGTTACCAGACGCCGCTTTTATTTGCAGAACGTTTCAAGTCTTTCTGTGCTTTGGCAGCTAGCAAGTGTCGATTCGCGAAGCGATAAAGAAGGCCAGGCTTGTGATCTCTCTCATGTTGCGAAATACAGTGCGGGCGTGAAAAAGAGAAACTGTCACCGCTCGCGTAGTAGTGCTCACCCTCTTTATGTTGAATCTTCAGCAATGCACTGTAAGATCCTCGCCATGAGTCAGAAGACTACCTCCCCCGAAACCCTCTCTTGAACATGCAATCCTTGGGCAGCAGGTTCGCCGCATCCCAGACGGAGGCATTGCAAACGACTGCCTGGGAAGGCAAACTGCCCAGCAGAAGATGACGTCAAGCTAGTTTTCCAGGCATGGGGTCCACAGCTTAGGCTCTCTCGAACAAGTAACTTGTGGCTCGCAATGGTGCAGCTTTGCTTTGTCGAGAATATGCGCAGCATGGCAGAAGTGCAGCATGGCCTCGTGAGCTCGAACCTCCCCTGTGGCACCGGCACCTCACAAAGCCCAGATGAGCCAGAGCAGGCCAAAGCAGCCAAAGGGCAGGGAAGGCCGTTTTGGGCAAGAGTCAGACTGCAAAGAGAAATGGATACAGTTGAGGTCTGCGGTCACACTCAGTCGCATGCAGTAAAACAAATCGCGACTTTTTGAGGGAAGAGTGGCGTGTGGGTGTGTGTCTGTGCGCACGTGTATCACAGAGAGGAGCGGGGGAGCGAGAGAGAGACAGAGACAGAGACAGAGAGAGAGAGAGAGCGTGCATGTGTGTGTACCTAAGCAAGCAAGCAATCATATCAGGAAGTCAGCCAGCCGCAATCAGTCAGCAAGCAAGCAAGCAAGCAAGCAAGCAAGCAAGCAAGCAAGCAAGCAAGCAAGCAGCAAGTAGGTAAGACGGCAAGTAAGTACCTAGGTAAGTAGACATGCAAGTAAGCAAGTCAAATATTACGCAAGTAATCCAGTACGTAAGTAAGTAAGTAAATAAGTAAGTAAGTAAGTAAGTAAGTAAGCAAGCAAGTAAGTAAGCAAGTAAGTTGGTAAGTAAGTAAGTAAGTAAGTAAGTAAGTAAGTAAGTAAGTAAGAGAGTAAGTAAGTAAGTAAGTAAGTAAGTAAGTAAGTAAGTAAGTAAGTAAGTAAGCAAGTAAGTAAGTAAGCAAGTAATTTGGTAAGTAAGTAAGTAAGTAAGTAAGTAAGTAAGCAAGCAAGCAAGCAAGCAAACAAGCAAGCAAGTAAGTAAGTAAATAAGTAAGTAAGTTGGTAAGTAAGTAGGTAAGTAAGTAAGTAAGTAAGTAAGTAGGTAGGTAAGTAAGTAAGTAAGTAGGTAAGTAAGTAAGTAGGTAAGTAAGTAAGTAAGTAGGTAAGTAGGTAAGTGAGGTAGGTAAGTAGGTAGGTAAGTAGGTAGGTAAGTGATAGGTTAGGTAGGCAAGCAAGCACGCAAGCAAGCAAGCAAGCAAGCAAGCAAGCAAGTAAGTAAGTAAGTTGGTAAGTAAGTAGGTAAGTAAGTAAGTAAGTAAGTAAGTAAGTAAGTAAGTAAGTAGGTACGTAAGTAAGTAAGTAAGTAAGTAAGTAAGTAAGTAAGCAAGCAAGTAAGTAAGTAAGTAAGTCATTTTAAAGTAACAACTACGTTCATTGACCCGGCGCGGACTAAGTAAATGTTGAGCTTGACGACGATGCTTGGGCTTTCGAAGTCTGGCTTTGGGGAGAGAGGTTGCTGGGCTCCTGAGCCGCAGACATCGCACACCGACGGCACAGCGATTGTCCATCAGAACCTGCCATACGTACAACGCTTGCGGACAACTACAGGACTGAGCCAACAAGCGGCATGTCTTCAAGCCCTTGCAGACGGAACATGGTTGCAGGAGGCTGTGATCTGGCTTTCTACACTAACCAGAGTCCGATGTACAACATGTCCTCAAGGGAAAACTCCGCAAGGAAGGAACGGAGGAGCGGCGCCTCCTCTACCCGAACATTCGTGCGGATCTCGCCACCCTCACGGCGCACCGCGGCTGCGAGGGCATCTATCACGGAGCCCATGCCACCCTGCCGCTCCCCAACGTTCAGGTCTGACATCTTCTTTTCAGAGAGTAGACCCCATGTGGTGGAAAAACATGTAGTTACGCCCGAGCATGTCCGATGGAGAGTGCCCTTCCTCACTGTGTTGCAGGCACTTATTGCACAGCACCTTCGAGCATCGTTGCATCTGGCCACGTCTAGACGGCTTTTCAGAAGATCTGTCGGCGCACAAGCCTTGGGGTAGGCAAGGCCACGGGTGCCTGACCAGACTTCTCACATGCTCTTCAGCGGCTGGAGGCATGACTCCGACGTGACTGCTGGCGGCGCATCTCCGAGAAAGCGATGCAGCATCCAACCTTCCCAATGGAGTTCGTCGACGGTAAATGCCATCGCTGCGGTCGTAGTGCCTGGAACAAACCCTTTCTCCTCTTTTTGTTAGCTGGGGCCTGGTGCGCATCGCTGGGATCCAGGCCGCTGCAGTCTAAGCCCGAGAGCGAGAATGCCAGAGCATCTAGCCAGGCTCGCAACCTCAGCCAAGTCTCTAACATGGAACCTGGTACATGCCCACACAGTTTTGCAGCAGCTCGGCTGCACAAAGCTCCTGACCAGCTCCCCTTGCGCATTTTGCCCTCTGCCTCCAGCTGGTCAAGAACCTGCGCCGGAACAGTTGCAAAGGCAGTTGCGCATGCTGGAAGCGTGCCACCTGTTTTCGTCGCAGAATCCATTTTACAATTGCCGAAACCATATGGAGACTCGTCCAAAAACCAGAAAATCAAAGAACGTTGCTCCAAAAGTCCGCCTTGCTGTAAGGCTCAGAGAGGCTGGCGGCTTCGCGGATGGCCGGCAAAACCGCTCCAGGAAACTGCGCGGATCGGGACTTTTCATCAAAACTCGGAACCTGTGGCGACTCAAGGCTGCCTAAAGTTTCACTCACCTCTTTAATTCTGGGCGGCTGAAGACGGTAATTCTCTTCGGTCTGTGCATCCTGCTGTCTTTGTGCCTTCAAGAGGAGCGGGAGGAGTTGCCACCTCAGCACGGGGGACGTTCCTTCTTCCTGAGACTCCCAAAACCTCTCAGAATCATAGACCGTCAAACTAGTGACCAGTGCGATGAAACACTGTTGTATTCTGGGTTTTCGGAGTTTTCCTGCGCCATGATTGTTCATGCTTTCTCTTCTTGCTTCTACATGCAAACATACATGCACATGTACATACATGCCTACCTATGTAAGTACGTACATACATTACAATGCACTGCACTATACTCCATTATTACACGTTGCATTACATTGCAATATTGCATGGCACTGCGTTGCATTTCACTAAGCTACACTACATAATGTTACCTTACATTACATTGCACTTCATTACATACATTAGCTTTGACCAATACCCATTTTTGTTGGCAATTCTTTCCGTCGCGATGCCTTTTGCAAAGCTATCCCGAAACCTTCCCGCGGCGCACACACACAGCGCTTAAATGTTTATATACTTATACTTATGTAGTTATATCTTCATGTACAAACAAGTCCGTTCACAGCCTCTTACTTGTTCCAGGGGCGTCCTTCATCTTGTTGACCCGGCTGGTGCATGAGAGCTGTCCGTCGCAGCACTTGTGCATGATCTGAATCTTATGCCGGGTGCAGTCCATGGCTCAGCTATCTCAGTCCCTACGGACTCCAACAAGAGGCCACCGCAAAGAACCAGCGCGAGCCCCGAAAGAGCAGACAAAGCCCCGAAGAAAGCCAACGAAGAGCAACCGGGGCAGACCACCAGACTAGACTGAAGTCGTTGTGAGCCTTATATACATACATACGTAAAAACATATATACATACATACAGACATACAGACATATATACATACATAAGTACATACATACGTACATACATACATACATACATACATACATACATACATACATACGTAGCTACTTACCTACGCACCTACCTACCTACCTACCTACCTACCTACCTACCTACCTACTTACCTACTTACCTGCCTACCCACATACATACATGCATACATACATACATACATACATACATACATACATACATTTGCATATGTGTGTATACATGTTGCATATATAGATATGCATACATACATACATATTATATATATATATATAGCTATGTGAGTTAGAGATGGGTAGCTACCACCCACCTACCTACCTGCCTAGACAGACAGACAGACAGAGACACCATGAGAGACAGGCAAACAGTAGGTAAGTGGATTGACCCTTGAAGTTCCTAAGCCGCTGCGGGCAAAGGGCTCGTCGTCACGCAAGACCAGGCCAGGGATCTGGCGCCCAATCTGCCCAGACAATTCGGCTCGATCGTTTTCGAATACACACCGGCATTAACTGAGCTAAGCCCGCTGGGACTTCTGGGAGAAGTCCTAGGAAAGATGATGATTTGTCTGGCTCAGGCATGCGGCATGGAGACAGCAAGATTCGGAACATAGGAAGGCTGCCTGCGCCAAGGGAGCTGATGCCTTCAGAACCTGGTGCAAGGCTGCGAAACTGCACATGGGGCTTGAGTGCACAAGCTGCTTTCTGGCTCTGGTCCGAGTCATGGAAGTCTGCCAAACCCGCAAGAAGCAAATCAGATCCTTCCTTAACCCTAGGATGAGGACACCTCGTCAAACTCCTCGGGCGGAACGCCATACCTGTCGCGGAGAAAGGCCACCAAGTCGGTGAGGACTCTTTGCAATGTCCCGGCCTTGGTAGGACGGTGTCGCGAAAGTTCGATGTCCCCAGCTGGAGTCGCCAGGGCCCTTCAGGGGTCAGCATGCCCCAGCCTAAGGCAAGAAAAGCTCGCAAAGCAAGGCGAAGCTTTGCGAAGCATTGCGATCTTGAGTTTGCCACCATCGTAATAGATCCACTCAACGTCTTGGCTTGCCCCGACCTGACCACATGTTAGAAGACAACGGATCCTAAACAACGTGGGAAGGCCAAGCAAGCGGCGTAGTCCATCACGACCCGCAGGGGATTGCGCTTCCTGAGCGCATGTTGGTGATGCATGCTTCTTTCATCTGACAGCGTTTCCGTGCAGGTCTCATGCAAGGCCAAACTTGCACAGATGGTACCCGATCCTCTACCGTCAGTCTACAACCCGGCACGCGGGCGATTGGTCCAGTTGGCCTCCCACCCCATGTCTGTTAGAATGGACGGACCAGAATCGAAGAGATACTCTCCTGAGCGGGAAACTCCGAGAGAAGCACCCCGTGGTAGCCTCTGCACTCCGCCGCCCTGGCCTCCTCCAGGGGCCTTGCGTTTGAAGGAGTGCGCCTGCACTCTCAGCTGTGGCACTGCCCGCAGTCTCGCAGTCTTGGTCTAGGGCCCCAGCACAACCACCAAGAGCGCTGTGTGCTTCCAGGACGAGCACGCGGCGCCCAGCCTCTTCGACCCACACTGGGTCACTGGGGGAGACCCGTTCACAAACAGCAAGACACTCCTTGCCGAGAGCTGCCGCACAGGCCAGGCCGCCCAGTCCGGCCCCTCGCAGCTCACGCCGCCCAGTCCGTCCTTCCGAAAGCCTCTGTCCCACGCGGCCTATAACGACCACGTCGTAGCCTTTCTTCGACTCCCCACCTTCACGTCAGACTGCATGCGGCTACCGGCTTCTGTTGCGGAGGGTCATAAAGATAAAGCTTCAATCGCCCAAAGTAGACGTTACGCCCGCACGTGTTGCAGGGAAAAGTAGGCTAAAGAACACACGAATAATGAACCGGCCTTGCGTGCATCTGATAACTACCCGACGCCTGCACGCCGTCCAAGGAGATGACCTCGCGGATGGTGTCGCCTGTCCGGGTGCTGACACGAAACGATCCAAAGTAATCCTGAACCCGCCTGTACAAGAGGGTGGCAGACGTGGCCTGGGAAGGCCCAAGTTCGCAATTCCGAAGCAGCCGATCTCGAAGACTTCTTCTGATTCTGCTGCCAGCCCGATCACAACACGCTGCTCAACAGCATGTCCTGACATCGGCTCTCTGACACGGATCACTGGAACAACGACCATCTGGGACCATCGCCAAGGCAATCGACGAACAAAGGCCTTGGCAGCTGTGACGTCTCAGCTGCGCCACTTCGCAGAGGAGCGCCTTGCCTAAGGCACTGGAGCGTCTCGGACTCGGTCTGAGCCTGCCAAGAAGGCTCCCAGAAACTCCATGAAAAGCTTCTGTTGTCCTCCCCAGCCTCTGAGAGCCACCGTGGTTCCTGGGCCGCACGCTTCCGGAAGGCGCCGAAGGCACCGCCCTGGCACCAGGGAAAGTCTGCGCCAAAAGCGCAGATGGAGACTTTCAGCTCATTCTGCAGGAGCCTTGAGAGAAGTGTCGGCACGGGAAGTCTTCCGTCCATGGTGTGAATCATGCTTGATCCGCAGAGACGTAAGTTAGACATCCTCCTGATGCGCGGTCTCTGCAATTATCTTGCTCTCCAATCTTCGCTATATCTCTCTGAACTGCATCGCAGCGCTGCCGATTGCGGTTGGTGTGTCGCATGTGCAGACTTGTGCAATCTGAAGGTATCGCAACATCACTGATGTCGACCACTGTTACCGGTATCTGTCAAACGTAGGCCCGAGGTTCGAAGACACGTTGGAACTTGCAAAGAGGCCACGGAGCCAGATGCTGCGTGCAAGTGCACCGGTGCGGAGACAGGCGAGGAGGGAAAGGTCAGGCAGCAGCCGAAAGCGAAGCAGACTTCTGTAGTTGCATGACGGCTTGGCTTCATGGACATCTTGCAAAGACTCTTATACCTCGGCCATGGCCACTCGGGCAACAGGCCCGGGCAACTTCTCAAGAGAAGTCAAGGTCAGCTCGGCCTCTTTGTCTCTCGGTTCGAAGGGTTGGGGTCTTGGAGCCACAGCAGAACTCGCTATCGGCTCGCTGTTGGCTGGCTAGGGCACCCTTTGGATGGCTCCCTCTGCCTGGCACGCACTGCGACTCTTTCCGATGTGACACATGGGCAGAGCCAGGCATCCGAGAGCTGCCTGGCCTGGCCAAGCCTACTGAAGATCTGAAAGTGAGGGTCATGTCAGACAGGCGGCGAGGTCTCATTACACTGTGTTACACATTACCGCGCATCTTCTCCTACCGTTCTACAGCGCTTCTACAGGATGTGCTCGTGGGCGCTGTCGGACGCCCGGCGGTTCAAGAGAATCTCACCACTTCAAGACCTCGTGGGGCTGCAAGGCTGCACCACGAGCTGCGCAACTCTCTCTTGCAAGCTTGTACTACCGGCACCCGCTCGTGGAATACAGTATCCTTGATTTTTTGTCCAGTCTTCGCATCGGTCAAACGTCTGTTCCTGCACACCTCCGATTGAAAAGACGGAGTATGCGAGAGAGACAGAGAGAGAGACAGAGCGAGAGAGACACCGAAAGCTTCATTTGTAACCGGGAACAGGAAAATCCCGGCACACATTCCATGAGGATAAGATGAAAGCCTCAAGCTGTCTGGCATCTCAGCGTCTGCTGAAATCCAGGACAGCTCGCAGAATTCGCACCGTGAAATAACTGATCTTCCCCAATTTATGATCACTCCTGTGCTGCTTCGGACTGTGACTACATGTGCAAGCCCAAGAAGATCTCGGCAAGCAAACAGGCGAGACTGGAGCAGATGGGGATCCATACCCGTTTCTTGTTCGTCCCAGGCGCGCTTTCTTGACGCCCCCCCTTCAGAACTCAATGACAAATCCCTCGACCCTGAACCCCTCAAAAATGCTGCAGATGGGAGGAAAGCTTGAGTTCTTAACATGTCCTATGCCAAACTCGGCACCTGACAAGAAACATGAGGACATGTAGATATGCATCACTGGCCATATGAGAAGTCTGAAAAACTGAATCACAGTGCGCAACAATTGCTCAATATATTACTGCTTTTGCGCTCACTGGCAAAAGCGTGATCCTGCTCGGCAGGACTGTGCACAAAAGCTCGAGAGGGAGCGCTCGCAATGTTAGGCACCCTCTGCTGCAAGACCTCATAGAAGAGTTGAGAAAGCTCGAGGATCCCTGACATGCGAAAGCCCGAAACTATCAAACCCCAAACCCACAGTCGTCTGCAATGCAGCAACCCAGGCCTGGACTCCGCACCGTAAACATCGAGGCCAAACCCCTACAACCCTCATCCCGATTCATCCCGTATTCTACAACCCGGTAACCCCGAAGCCCTAGAGCCCTAAACTCTACGGGGTGGGCACACACATGGTGGTTGTCAACTGTACGGTGTCAAGTTGTGGTCGTTTTGGGGTGTAGGGTGATGAGGGTTTCGGATCTAGGGAGGGGCAAATTGCGTGATATTCGTACTGGGCGAAGCTATCTATGGAACACCCAAGTCCGGTCTGTATTGAAACGCTGCTAGAGTCGTGCCAAACACCTTGCGGATCGGTTTCTGGGCAAGGCATCCGCTTGGAAAATGTCAGGAAACTCAACCGGAGCGCCCGTAGACGCCGTACCCTTTTGGGCTCACGTCGCCGGGGAAATCGGCAGAAAAGACGCTGCCATCTCTGCAGCCCTCGGCGGGAAACGCGCTCTCGCAGAAAGTTAAACACATACTTGGCCTGCATGCTGAAGCATGCCCGATCGGCACAAACTCGGAACAACATGCAGATTGTGCAAAAACTCAGTTTCAGCCGGGCGAGATTCATGATGCATCGTGACAGGCTCAAGCTGAAAACGGGCACGCAGATTCATAGAGCTCGCCTCCCCACCGTCTTGGACGGATAGGATAGAGTAAAGGGGACTTGTGAAGTTTTCTGTGACGTGAGGAGCTAGTAGATGCTGGCTCCAAAGCCTTGCAATTGGAAGAAGCTATGACACGCCTCCAACGCTCCCTCACCCTCCTCTCTCTTGCTGCCTCTTCTGGCTCGTCCTGGCCGCGTTTGGCCTAATCCAGCCGGTGGGACATGTCGATCTTGCCTGAACACAAAGGCAGGCTCTGCCAAGCAGATGGCACGAAGACACGAAGATATCCTGCTGCCTTTACCCCCATCGGAGGCTTTGAAGGTCCCGTGCAATCTCCTCAGATGTGCGGAGAGAAGGCCGTCTGCACACTTGTGTTCGCAACGTGCCGCACTGTATCTACTGTAATCGGCTACTTGCACCGGCGCTGCTGCTGGTGCTACTCCAACTGTCCTGTTCTGCCGTCAGCGCTGCTGTTGCTGCTACGGTTTCGTGGCCGCTGCTGTGTCGTCAGAGTCCTTCTCCTTAGCAACAATCCCCTGCGACATCGACTGCGACGACAACTACCACGAGCTGCACTTCGGTGGCTCGTGCTGCTGCTCCTGCTGCAGCCCATTACCACTGCTTCTCACGCTGCTAACACGAATCCAATCGTACCCATCGTCATCCTAATTTGCTTTGCCAACATCAGCAGCCGCATCAACGGCGCCATTCTCCTCCTTAATTCTCATCATCGTCATCTCCGAGTCATCACCATCATCACCACCACCTCCATCACATCGCATATTAGTGCTCGGGTTTGTACAACATTGACATTACCATTGCCACTCTGGGTATGACAATTTGTTGTCGTTGTCGTCAATCTGCCTTGCCATTAACAGTTATTGCTTGTGCTGTATCTCATTCTTGTCGTTGTTGCATCGCCACGGCTGCTACCGCTTCCTGAAGAAAACCCCTCTCCGTTCGGGGCACGTGCATGGCATAAGCGGCACATGTGACCGGTACTGCTTCATCTTAGATATCTTAGCGTCGCCAGATACTGAGAGCGGGAGGCGGGGCGTGGGGACGAGAGGAAGGGGAGGGGCGTAAATGCTATACGGGATGGCCTCCACCCACTTCACCGCACTTGCTTCCACATCTTTACATCTTCTCTACGTTGACTCTACATCTTGTTGACACCTTTGACCTGTGGTGTCTCAATAGGGAGATGCAGTCCCAACTTGATCCAGGCATCTTGGTCTTCACTTTGTACTTCGCCGTCACATGCATGCTTCCCCAAGGATAGACCTGCGCATAGGCACTTAGAGCCTAGCCGTCTTGAGGGAAGCCATCCCGCCTCCAGCCACTCCATGTTGAGGCCGGTCGCATTTCCATCCAGCGACACGCAATCAGCATTGCCTGGCGGAGAGAGGCGCGAGTGTGCCAAGAGCGAACCCCCTCAGTGAGTGTTGCGGCCTGTCCCGGTGATGCTCCCCGAGTCGCTGAAAGTCAACAGCCTCTGCTCCTTCCTGCGACGACAAATCGCTTCGTTCCCTTACAAACACCCAAACTGATCCGAAAATGCCTTGTCTTGTTGCCCTCTTCGCGAATCTCCACGTCCCAGGTCCCAGAGAGCTTCGTCCAATCGAACATGTCCAGCATGGAAGCTGCCAAAGGGCGGCATTTCAGCGAAAGTTGGAAAGTTTGTGCACTTCAACACACCACCCTTATCTTCTTGACTGCACATGTTCCCGAACTATGACTCGACTCCTGAAAACCTTCAAGTCTTACCAAAAACAACTGCAGTGGTTCGCTCATCTTCTTGGTCAGCATCCCGCCCTAAAGATTTTTCTGACCATGGAAATGACATGATATGTGGGAAAGGTCAGCGCAACCAGCAACCGAACACCTTGAGGTGTGCTTCACTTGCCTACATGAGCCACGGTCAAAATAACTGGCTCGGCGAAGGGACATTGATCTTGGGGATATCGTTTTTTTTGTGGATCCTCAATCGTTCTGTCGATCAAGACCCATGTCGGGATGCTCCGGGATGCTCCTGGCTGGATCGTGCTTGCTTGCAGTACAACTTTAGTACTGGAAATGCCTCGTTGGCTGTGGCTGGATTGTGATCGCTCGTAGTACACCTGTAGTACTCAGAGACAATCTAGCTCTTCCGAGAGAAACGCCAGTCGGAAACGCTCACATGCACACGCACGTTATCGTTTTTTTTTTGTGGATCCCCTATCGCTCTGCAGATCAAACCTCGATTTATGTTTATCTCATGTCCGCAGTTGACTAACTCTGCTCTTCCACAATTTTGACGGCCGCTCACATGGTGCTCGGCAGAGTGCACGAACCCAAGCATGCCCGAGTCAAGGCACTGGACGTTGCAACAAGGCCATCGTCTGTTGATTGCCGTCGCTGTAGGGGTACCTTAGCATGACAGCTTCGGGACGTCTGGGTCAGCACTAAATAAAAGATATCAATCAACCCGACATGAGATCTGCCGGCATAATGCGGCCAAGGCATCCTCTGACCGCCGCCGTGATGGAGATAATGTCTCAGCAGGGCCGGGCTTCGGTAGAATCACAAATGGCAGGCAATTGCAATTCAAGGCCTCCCGGGTACTGGACCGGCGCCTACCTCCAATGGGTGAAACGCTCGTTTTGCGGGCCACGACTTTCCCATGAGGCAGACAACTGTCCTCGTGACTGGCTTTGGCTTTGAAGGGAGTGGCGCCGCTGCCTCGGAGCCGAAGCTTTCAGCGACGCCCCCCGACCGCGGCTCGAGGCCGGCACTTCAAGGGTTCTTGCACTTCCACCGCCGCCAGCCTCTCCTATCGAGAGAGTCTGTGCTGTCTTCGGCTGCTGAGGCTGCGCGTCCTCATCGGAAGACCCATCTGAAGTCGCAACTGTCCTTAGATGCGGGGACAATCCAGCAATGCTTCAACACATTCACCGTGCAATCGCAGCAACAGCGATAGCAAGAGCGTCGTCAAAGTCCTGAAGCAATGATCTCACCTGCTTCACATTGCAGACCAAGTCTCGCTTCACTTCCACGCAGTAGCAGCTGCCCAGAAACCGATGCATCTCAGATAGTACATTGCAAAATAAGCCTTTGAACAACCCAGTTGCAGAGCTTCCGCCCCTGTCGTTTGAGTCTAGTCACTGGTGACATGCGAGAGCCTGCGCGTCGATAGGTAGCTGGCATCCATGGACTTGGATGTTTCCAAGTTCCCCGAGCTGCGCCTTGCAGACGAAGCTTGGGCTTTCTCACGGCTTTTGGCAAGTCCGGAGACGCCACTCACTGGAACTTCGGAGATCTTCGGATCTGGGATGCCGAGCCGTCGCTGCATCTTCGGCGACATTGGCCTGCAGCTCCGGGATGCCTCTTGAGCCCCTGCTGCCTGAGAGCACAGAGACAGCACCTTGTCTTCGATCCGTTTTATTCATGTACTTCGCGATGGACATGTCACGACCAGGATATAACGAATTGCAGAGGAGGACGTTTGGGGACCCCAAGACACTTCAGGACTTTCACGACAACTTCTTGCAGAAAGGCCGCCATGTAGCAGGACGTGCACCTGCATTTTCGGAGCAGGAGTGCTGATGGCATGACAGCGGACAGTTTGGGCATGCATCTGCTGAATCGAATGCATGCCGGCCGCAGAGAACTCTACACTAGAGTGGCCCAACCAAACCAGCGGAATTCTTCTTGCAGCAATTTAGGTTCGATGAAAGAGAATCCGAATGTTCTGGAGTTCTGGACCAATGAATGTCATGTCGAAAGCCCATCTCTTTCTCGCGAAGGCACTGAACGAACTTGCGACCAGCCATCCAACACTTTCTGCACCTCCGCACAACGGAAGAAAAAAAGATAGGTTTGCTACCTCGGCAGCTGCACCTGTATGAAATTTAACAACACACTGAGTCCGCGCTGCACCGGGGTACTAGGATAAGCTTTGAAACGACACACCACAAGAAGTGAGCACCTTCAAGAGGAGCCCAACTTAACACAACCTCTAAATGAAACACTCGAAGCCTTCTCGCGTAAGGTCTGCTGCACTGCACCCTAGCAAATCCGCAGGATTCGACCCAACATCAGGTTCTGAGGAACTCCCAAGGCACGCGAAGAACTCTTTCTCCTGCAGGTCTGAAACCTTGAGTTTGACAAACGGTCTGGTGAAGTGCTTCGAAACTGTTGAGTAATCCAAAAGCCAGAGTGCTACAACCAGGCCACGGTGCAGGCTCCCCGACTGGCCGATCAACGCTGAGAAACGTAACCACTATCCAGAGGCAAGCAGCTAGAAAGCGACTGCAGGTGGCGCATACCAGCTCTTCTGGCAATGATGTACAGCTATGTCGCCTCGCGACGTTAGAAGAACCGACAGCTCACACTGAGAATCACATGATATCACATGCATGCATTTGCCTCCGCGGTCAGATAAATATCTGCTTCAAAAAATCCACACGGGGGCACCTCCCTGCAGCGTCCACAGTCGGAAAGGCTTGCTGGATCGTAAAGACCTCGTTGCCCAGCGCAGCGGTCCGTGTCTGAACTTCCGCTGCTCTGGAAAGGCCTGGCCCATGTCGTCTTCTGTACACTCCTGCAGGGCACGCGGAACACAAAGAGCGAGGCAAAAGAGACTAAGGAGAAGCGTCTCCTTTCGATGAAGCTCCAGGTCGGACTGCGCTCTCTGTAGCCCCTGCACAGCACAGCACAGAGCGATGAAATGAATGAGCTGAATGAACTGAATGAACTGAATGAACTGAATGGCCGCCATGGCCCAAAGGCCCGACTTGCCTTCCTTGCATCAAGCGATTCGCCGGACTTCGTCCTCACGGTCTCGGCTTCCGCTTAAGATTCTCTTTTGGGGCAGCGACGGGAAGCGAGGGTGAGGCATGTCCTGGCATCTTTCAGTTTGCCCACCTCAGATGCAGGATGATGCAGGCTTGCGCCTTCCGCGCTCCCACACATTTCCCTTTCAGCACAGCGGCCGGGCCCTTCTTCGATGCACTTGCACCGCAGCCCATGTGAAGCGGATAAGTCGGATAAGGGCTTTTGACAGCTGGGGAAAGTTCTGCACTTATGCGGCCTCTCACATTAACCTGGGAGCTTGGATGCCAGTACTTGGACTGGAATGTTGGGGCTGGGGCTTCCGTGCTTCAAGAGGTGGGGTGCATGGCATGTGCTGTGGACCAGAGTCTTCGAGCAAGGGCACAGCACAAGATACGGACCTACGCGTGCAACGGCCGTCGCTAAGAAGCGCAGCTTCACAAAATGACTCTGCGGAAAAACCCTTTCCTGAGCTCGCCACTGAACTGCTGACGACGTCTTTGCCGTCACCTTGCCGTGCTTGTCTCGCTCAGAGCGGAGTCCCTTGCGTGAAGTCCCTGCCACAAGCAGGCCCACATGGGCCCACACTGTCGACTTTGAGGCTCCTCCACTCCGTCGATAGCCAGCTCCTTTTCAGACATGGGCAAAACGACAAAACCCGAATTAGCAAAAAGGCGTGTCCTCGCCCCGACAGATCCGATGAGGCCTCGCAGGATTTGGGGACAAAGGGCACAAGAGCCCCACAGCGCAACAGAATCTGTAAACCCAGTAAATGCTGGGAAAGAAACCCCGGCCTTCGAGGGGCACGTCGCGACAATCACCGCCACCCTGAGGATTTCAAGCTCGGAAACCCGACTGACTCGTATCCCACACATCTGGACAAAAGACAGAAATCAACCTGGTGCCGAAGCCTTGCATCTCGGATTAAGCGAAGCACTTGTGAGCAGGTCGGGGATTCAGGCGGACCGCTCTAAACCGAAAAAAACACCGAAGCTCTGACCCTCGAGGAACCCGGCTTGAGCTTGTTGGCTCAGCTGTCGAGACCGGAAACCCTGAGGCCTGGGAAACGATGTAGCGATAGATCCTCAGATGTCACAAACCAAGTGGCGAGCTTCGGGCATTGAGCGTATGTATTCGTGCATCTTCCGGGTCTTGACCTGCACCTGATAACTGCATTCTGAAAGCTTTCTGGGAGGCTCCATGACTCCTTCGCAATGGCGCAAAAAGTTGAACTTACTCGACAGCCGCCTCGTTTCTGTGTTCTGTCCCGTTCTGTGGCCCACGCGGGAGAACTAGAGGATGCTCTGATGGGTGCACCTCGCATACAAAGCAAGGAAGCAGAAGGAACCTCATCCAACCATTTTTTGAATATGCTTTTCTTCAGCAGTGCATGCCTGATAAAGCCTCAGTAAAGAACCTCCAAGATCCACGGGACCGAGGTCCTCGCATAGGCTGTGCCATCACCCTCAGCCAGAGTCTGCTCAAGATTCTGGAGGCGTTGCCTGAGCACTCGAAGGGATGCAATGCACCCCGCGTAGCTGAAGCTGCTCAGATCTGCTCGTTATCCGTTAGCAAAGCCACGGGCTTGAAAGTCTGAGAGCAAGTGAAGCCCTGCAAAACACGTGGCCTTCGCACAACTTGGCTAGAAGCTTTCGTGTCGGGATCCTGTCGATCCGCGCGAGCAGGGGCGGTCAGAGAGGTACCCTGGATCCGCTCGAAATGTGTCCTCCTCGACAGGCTTCTTCTCCGGTGCGATCTGGCCACCCCCGTTGAGGCAGCCTTCAAGGATGTTTGCTTCAAATTGGGTTTCTGTGCATCACTGTCACTCAAATGGAGAACCTCCAGGACATGCCATGATCTCCACAAAGTGGCCGATATCTTTGCCATCCCCGCTGCTCCCCTGGCACATCTCGATTCGACACCCGGGTATCGGTCTCGGGGCTTCAAGGAGTCTGGAGGCTCTTCGGTTACGCCACGTTCCCACTGTGAGCCTTCGTGATGCGACGGATGACCTGGAGACGGCATTGTGGCATGGGCCCCTTGTCGATCGAAGCAGCTCAGGCCACTGGCATTCTGGATGTTCCGAAAGCCATAGGCGGCGGTGAAGCGTAATCTGGGCAACAGATGGAACCGGACTAAAGAAGGTCGAAGAGAAAGGTGACATGCTGCTGTCCACCGTACAGCACTTGCAGTCTCTGCATCACCTTCAAGAAACACTGTTGCGAATGGTGTATGTATTGACATGTAGTAGGATCCTGGCAAAACTTCCTGGCTTTGTGGATCTCGCAATATCACCTGGTAAACCGGCAAAGTATGAGCTCTATGCTTCACATGGAACCCTGGGTTCACGTGTCACTGATCATATTTTCCCCTGGCTGCGCACTTTCCTCGGCCATACGGCGGCCTCTGTGAGATGAAACGACGCAGCAGCCTCTCACTTGCCCTTGGGCTTCGGTCGGTCTTATGATAACTTCCCTTTCATTGAACTGTCTCTGGCTGCGAAAACGACTGGAGAAGCACTTGTGACCAGCACCCGAACACCACCAGCGCTGGAGCTCAGGCCGAAAGACTGCCTATGGTCTAGCAGCAGCTGCACCAGAGCTGAGAGCTACGATACTTTAACTGCCCAAAAGTTGCTCTACGCTATCATCCGAAAAGCAAAACTCCGAAAGCAAGTGTGGCTGCGCAGAAATCGAGGCCGAAGTTCCGAAAGTGTCTAAAAGCAACAGAAAAAGACCTGAACGGGGGAGGGCGGTGGGATGGGCTTGGCCCGTCCTCTGTCATAAGGATGCTAGAGTATGATGTTGACCTGCCTCGGAGCCTTCTGACCTCGAGTGCGGCTCGACGCAAGCAGAAGCTCTCTACTTGTAAGTCAATCAAGAGCCGTGCGTGCAGCGCACATTCGCCTTTGAAGGCGCATGCCGCTCATCGCCACGCGGCTACTGGCGATGTCGTCATCCTCTCGCCAGTTGCCAAACATAATACACAGAGAAACACCATCACTTCATGATGCTGACGTAGACATGCAATGGCGGCGGCTATTCCGCCTTTCTGTGGATAGCGATGCTTCGCATGCCCCACCCAAGCAGATGCCGTCAGGATGGCCGGGCCCTTGTCTCCAAGGCGCTAAGGGGCGCTTTCGGCTTGGTTGGTTTGGTTGGTCTCGTTGGTCTCGTTGGTCTCTGGATCAGCGGATTTGGGAAGGACAGACCTCGGCTTCGCTTTTCGGTAGCACGGTTGAACCGGCCCCTCAACTTCGAGGCAAGTGGCGAGGTCTGGCGGCCCAAGATCTTGGAAGCGCCACGTTGCATGCGCACTTTGTTGCTCGGCCTTGGAACCCGGGCACCGCTGGCCCTTTTGAGTGGGCTTGGCTTCGACGTAACTTACTTTGCAGACCCTCTATGTAAAGGAAGGAGCAAGCATGGACAGGTTGAGAGTCTAGGATTTGGGAGTTTGAAGAATTAAGGCTGGACTAGGCTTCGGTTTGTTTAGGCGTTGGCAGTTTATCCGAGGTGATCTCGAAGCGCCATGTCAGGACAGGCGGCTGCTCGGCCCGCTTAAACTCGGGCATCTTCATGTTCATGACGCCTTGATCGCCGGAAGCTCTCAGGCGGCAGCTTCGGGGCTTGACACAGCCTTGACAAAGAGACTTTTTTCTGAGTTGCACAGCACTCCGCAGCAACAGCAGCGACCGGCCCAGAAGATCCCACCTGTCAGGGCGACCAGTTCAAGACATGCTCGAACGATGTTCGAGGCTGCTGAGCCTGCAAAGAGAAAGCCGTAGAAGCCCAGAGTAATTACCAAGAACGGCAGCAGACCTCAGACTTTTTCTGTGGCATGGTAGTGCCAAGCACTGCGAGAAGTGCTAAACCGAGCGTCATAGGCCTGTGATCCACGACAGGACAGTTGTGACCATGAGTGCCTCTTTCGCCAGCGAAGCACAAGGAATCTCGGAACATCTCAGCTTTGTCCCAGCAGACGTGAGAGCAGGCCAAGAAGCGTCTCCGTCTTCGTCGCAACTCTTGATGAGGCAGCAAATCTTGGCTGGCACAACATTTTCACTGTGCACTTAGGGTGATGATGATGATGATGATGATGATGATTTGATGATGATGATGATGATGGTGATGATGATGATGATGGTGATGATGATGATGATGATGGTGATGATGATGGTAATGATGATGGTGATGATGATGATGATGATGATGACGATGATGACAACGACGACGACGAGGATGATGAGGAGGAGCATGAAGAGGAAAAGGAGAAGGATGATAATCATCATCACCATCATCATCATCATCACGCGGAGATGTGCGTTCCAGCACGCCTAACTGGCTTCGCTCTTTTCGGCGGCCTTTTTGTGCATGCCCAGCAGCAAGGGCAACCTCAAAGAAGACAAAGGTGATGATGATGCTGACGTTGCTCTGCAGGGACGGGAACCGCTTTGGGCTCTAAAACACAATTGTGGGTTCTCCCAGTTCGATCGGAGCGCTTCCATGCTGTGTGAGGCTACGTGAAGTTCAGAACTTCATTGCTCAGGAAACAACCTTGCTTGCGAGGACTATCTGAAACATGCTCCTTCAAACTTGCGATCCAAAGCAGACACCTCGTGGAAGAGCTCACGTGTTTTGGGGAGCTCCCATTCGTCGCAGATCCAGACAGCACCCAACCTGCTGCGGGATGTCTTGAACCGGTCCACAGCAAGACAATCCAGGCCTGTGCAGAGTGGAGTCTGCGGCCACGCATTTCGTCCATTCCACCTGCAGGCCATGCACAGCGTGGAGCAGAGAAGCGTGGAGATGGCCACCGCGCACCATCACCCGTGCACTCCACTCCTCTTCGACTCTTCGCTCCCCTCCCGGGCGGCACTGCGTGTCGACACCCCAGGCCACTGCCGCATCACGTCACCAGATGTCACTGCATCACAGCTGGTCTCGTGCTTCGTGCATCCCCCCATCTCGCGCCGCACTCACTAGCCCGTTCTCGTCTGTTTGTGCTTTCCTTGTGCGACCGCTACGCGTGGACTCAAGTTCGACAGAATCGACACATCGGCCGGTCGGAACGTACGTAGACCTAAAACATGTAGCCATGGCTATAGGTCGTCGGTCATGATCTCACCCCACCCCGCCTCTTCTAGTGAAGAGATATCCCCTTGCCATTCCACGCATTGGTCATCGACATTCGTCCTGACACTCTGCGGGCGCTGGTAAAGCAAGTGTGCCTCAACATTCGCTTAACCTTTGTGCAAGGAGGCACAGTCTGAAGCTCCTGGTGCAGCTGTAGCTTTCGAACTCCACACCTTCTGTGTACTGGTCGATGGACTGCCTTGAGATGAGCAAGGACGTGACAAAAACACTCCGCAGGGGGGCGGCCGAGGCGAGTCGAGGCCAGGCTGCGTGGTCCGGAAGAGGACGCTGAACAGGCCAACCTGCGAGTCTCGGAACCAAATCACCCACATCTCACAAGATCTCACAAGATCTCACAAGGATCGCAGGAACGGAGACATTCTGAGACCAGTCTGCACCCAGGCGCATCGCGATCCTCACACGTCCACCGAGAACAGTGCCTCGGTTTGCTTGCCAATGGGCATCATGCAATCGGATTGCATACAGGGAATCGAAACTCTTGCAGGATCTGCTACATGACAAGTCGTTGGCTATGTCATAGCTTTCGGCGCTTCTAGACCACCAACTTCACCTATTTGGCGCCAAGAAGCCTTCCACTAGGATCTTCTTGCCGGCCTCGCCAGTGGCAGTGCGAAGTTTCCTATATTGTAAACTGAAGCACGGTGGAACAGAAGGTCTAGATGTGCACATAACAATGAATATAACAGAACTATTCTGCTTGTCGCTCTATATATCCGTATCGTGTATCCATCTTTTCTCTAACGTCCGTGCTCTGCTTCCGAACGACCCTGCAGGGCTCTTAGCTCCCGGCACTCGCATATCTGAATCTCGGTCTCAATTTCCCGCCATTGGTGACAGTGCCTGATGGGGGAGAAAAGCTTGGCCACAAGGTTTTAGCTTTTTCTGAATTGCTGGCATTACTGGCTACAGCCTCACCTCTCGTGCACAAGACGAAATTATCCCTTTTTCTTCTCCCATGCAATTCACGGAGTGACTCATCTGTTCTCCTTTCTCTCCCTTACTTCTGTCATCACCTCCAAAATAGGCTCTAACGGGGTTCGGCTAGGTTGGACAGGGACAGAGTCCAGGACCGGCACGAGAGGAAAAGCCTCAGCAACCTGCACTTCTTCAGACTAGAACAGTCTCTGTGCGCATGTATCCGCTATACTAGTGTTGCATGAGCTTCTGTTCTTTCACGACCGCCCCCACGCTGCTCCTCTTCGCCAACATCGCATTGTCGCCATTGACGACGCAAACATCACCCCACCGGAAATAGATGTGCCGTGCTGCTGGACTGTACCTTAGGGAAGAGTGGCTTTGGCCTTCGGCTGCTAGTTTCATGAAAACAATGCTGGCAGCGATTGCCTGCGAGTGCCACTATACGGTCTGCTATGACTATTCAACAGACCAGCTGTGATTGTTGCCACAACTACGACGGCCACAAGAGAACACGACTAGCACGATGACTAGTACTACTGTGCCTTTTGCTTGTAGCATGCTAGAGCTGGTCTTCTTCGATCGCAGTGCTGCTCTTGTTCGTCTCATGCTCTACGAATGGTATTCGGCTGTTTGCTAAAACCCCGTCATGGAAAGGATTGGGTTAGATTCCTGGATGGTTGTTGTCTATTCATAGCAGCACCAGGCGCCTGCTTTAGACCTAAGCCTCTCAGGACCATCCTGAACCTTCCATAGCCCGGCAGCGCGAAGACTGGAGGCCAGTTGACTGTGCCTAGGCAGGGCGCATGCAAGCCAAAGTCTACGAGCTCCACCGTCGCGAGGGAGGCCTGCCAGCCTGCGTGGCTCTGTCGTGACGCCAAGCCTCGCCACAGGCTGTTTGCCAGGCAGAACATCTCACAACTCTAAAGATTTCCTCGCGTTCCACCAGCCCGGAACCCAATCCATGCCAAGAAGCTTCTCCAGCCGCGCCATCTCGCTGGCGTTGTGCTGGCGTAGGTAACCTGGTGCACAAGCAGGAGCCCGGTGCATCCCGGTGCACCCGACAAGAGCTGCTGGGCGCAAGACTGACGTAGTCCTGCAAGACATCCTCTTCGTTTCGCTCCTGTCTCCAAGCTCGTGGCACTGAGTGTCAGTCGCTGCTAGAACCTCTCTCTCCGACCTCTCCAAGCCGACGCCCGATGTCTCCGTTCCACAAGCTCGCGGGCC